CCCCAAAACCCCAAAACCCCAAAACCCCAAAACCCCAAAACCCCAAAACCCCAAATAGCCTATCTCTGGTTGTCAATAAATATAAATTATTTACTTCGACATATCTAACAATGTCTTCAGACCAACTAGATGCTCTTAAAGCCAGAGTTGCTGACCAATGCAAGAGAATGGAAAGCCTGACTGCAGGAACTCCTTACGGAAGCATTGAGGCCGTGCCAGATCACGACATCTTCGCAGATATTCTTGGAGAATGCAAGGATTCAGACTTCTGGGCCAACTTCAAAGAAATCTCTCCAGTGCTCTTGTGCTTCGCCACTGAGAGTGAGCCTGCCGTCAGCAGAGAACGTGACCTCTGTGTCACCGGAGAAATCCTGAAGACCAAGAGCCTGCTCGACTCCATCAAGAAGAAGCTTGAAGAAGGCAAGACTGAAGGACTCAACATCCCCGACTTAAGTGTGGCAGTTAAATCTCTGACTGACAAAGTGGACATCATCACTTACTTAAAGGAGCCAGACTCAGATCCGAACGAGCTCAGGTTCACACTCAAGGGCACCAACAAGAAAGTCAAGGTCGACATCAAGAAGCTGCAGGAGGCCATCAGGTTCGTCGATGACGGAACTGAAGAAGGCAAAGAAGAAGTCAAAAGAGAAGAACCCAGAGTTGAAATCACTGAAGAAGAAAGCCAGTTTATCGCTGAGAAGCTCAAGGACTTCTTCCTTGAGACTGCTGCAGGAGGCCTCATCGAGAAGAAGTGCATGATGAAGTTGATGAAAATCATCGGAGACTTCTCAAAGTTCAGATCTAAAGATATTGGCAAGGAAGCACAAGCTAAGAGACTGGAGGAGTATGATGGAGACAAGGAAAAATACATCGATGTCATTCTTGATACTATGAATAAAGAAGAACAAAGCTTCAATTTCTGTACCACTGCTGTTTTGAACAAATTAGAAGTCACTCATGACAAATACATGAAGTCTGAGCAGAATTTAATTATGGATCCTATGTGCCAAATGGAGCTCCTTCAGAAGGGTATTGAAAACGAAGATAATACTACTGAAATCCCAGATGAATTAGATAAAGCAAAAACCATTGAGCTCTTAAAGGAATCAAACGATAAAAGTTTCGAGCAGTACAAGGGATATAAGGATGCCGTTCAGAAGAAAGACCCTTATTTGACCCCAGTTGTTATCAGCTGACTCAGCCACGATTATTTGATGAAGGAACATGGATACAGTGAGGAAGTTTTCAAAGCTGCCATGTTCAAGCATAAAGTATTTGAAGATCAAGAGTTAGCAATGTACATGCAACAAAAGCAGTTCGAATTATTCACACTCGACGGAGGACCCCCAATGATGCCACCAATGGGAGGAATGCCACCAATGGGAGGAATGCCACCAATGGGTGGAATGCCACCAATGGGAAGATAAACTAGTCCATGAAATAGACTCAAATATATTGACATGTTTACCTCAATCGTGATAAATTAAATAGGGGTTTTGGGGTTTTGGGGTTTTGGGGTTTTGGGGTTTTGGGGTT